TGATGTCATCTTTTTTCACTTTTTTGTTTAAGTCGAGTAATAGGTTTTACAAAAACCCCTGGGATTTTGGAGATATTTTGCAGTTTTCTACAGTATAAATGCACTTTTCTTAAAATATAATACCATATTTGGAATCTGCATGAAAAACTGCATCGAATGGAATGAGTGTTTGATGACAACTACGAAAATAAAATTCTTCGATCAGGGAAATCCAAAGGTTTGTCCGCAATGACGTTAAACTACGGGTCCGCAACGACCATAAACTAGGGTAATGATGATCGGTAATGGATATATGGTTATAGTGACAGTATTCGGACAGGCTCATAGCAAAGACATTTCCACGGACACGCACAAAATAGTAACAAGTAGATAAGGGTACAGTTGAGAGATTTAGCTCAGAGGAATTCAATAATGATCACCCCCTCTGGCTCTGTCGAATGGCAGTGCAGCCGCTAGATTTCTCTTCCGAGGCCACATCTGCCTGTTACTATTATTGTTGAATGCACTCGGACTCCCACTGTGCGCGAGGTGGCTTAGCAGAGATAGCGCAGGGCAATAAGGATTCTCTGAAGTCCACCTACGAGTGATCCCAAGTATTACGGGATATGGGGAGAGTTGCCTAAGATGTATGAATTGACTGGGTTAGCCAGGCTCTGATCCATGCGTAGGCTCCCCTGGTCCGGTCTATTTGTACATCTGCAGAGCACGGGAAGGCCGCGCGCGTGGGGCGGGCGTGTCGAGACCAGGACCCGAATTTCGGGGTACTGTGGATATCAAAAACTCCGGTGATTGTTAACTGTAGCCGGAGGGTATACCACAGCCCTGGGTGTTGCTCTGGACGCCCCTGAAAACTGCAAATGGCTTCTTCATCTTCAAAACCATCTTCTTCTTCTGCTCTAACTATGTCTCTCGACGAATTTTACAACATCTGCCACTCTGAGTGTAGTGGCAGTGAAGATCTCATTCAACAAAAGGTATTCGAATTCTTCAATCTCCAGTCAACACCCGAAAATATCAGTCTCATTGAATCAAAAGTTAAGTACCTTATTGTGAAAAGAAAGGACAAATTTAACGATTGGAAACAATACCACAATGTTGAATCACAGAAAGAAAAGTTCTCCAGTGTCGCTCTGGAAAGAGGCGAGTTTCCAGATCAAAAACCAGCAGTAGTTGAAAAGGCAAAACCTCCCAAACGTCCTACGAGAGATTTTAGTCAAGTTAGAAGTCGTCAAAAACGTCGAAAACTAACCGATTTGAATTCACAGCTCGATGAATTTGCCAACGACAACAACATTAGTGTGAATCAGGTAATAGGCTATCTATTGTACCAAAGAAATCACAGTACACAAAAATATCTAGCAAAAATTGGAGATATACTCTATCGAACAGGAGATTTGGAAGAAACAACAAAAATACAACTGGATGTAGATCAAACTTTAGCTTTAAAAATTCAACTGAATTTGAGCAGAACACATGTGGACTTTCTAAAATAAGGTATAATGGTAGAAAACTTAGAAGAAACTATCGCTTTGACTATTTCTCGATTGCTAGAAAAACTGAAAAGAAAATGTATCGATGTACCACTGAATTTGACATACAAACAGAAAACCGGGCATGATGGAGCAGGAGGACAATCCGTCTATAGAGCATCAGATAATCCAATGAGCGATCCGAACATATTCGCTAAAATGTACGTTCCTCTATCTCTGACCGATACGCAGACTCAAGAAACGCTATGGATACATGAAACACCGAACAGTGCTTTCTATACGAGACCACTTGCTCTAATAGCTGAAAAGGAAAGTGCAGATCTGATAAAATTTATCAACGAAAAGTTCGAACCTGAAGAACAAAAGCTTCGTGAAAAATGCATAGATGTAGAATATGGCGTACAAAAGTATAGTGTGTCTATCATCATTGAAGATAGCATGAAAGATTTGAAAGTACGGAGAGTAAGATCTGGGCTTGGCGCAGCTGACTGTCTCATGTGTTATACCCATCAAACAGATTGGAAAAATAAGGACAAAATAAAAGATGAAAGTGCCTTTCTCATAACTCGAACAGCAGAAAAAACTATGAAATTATATTCTACAATGACCGAAGAAAGCGGACAAATTAAGAAAACCAAAAACGATTATGAAACGAGAGCAGGTTTGACAAATGAACCGATTTCATCAAGTGATCATCACTATATAACCTTAACACACCAATATATCAATGGTACTCAGTGGTTTCTCAATATTTTTTATCGTATCAAGGCTAATCTACTCGTTTGGGCAATCCGAGGTGATGTAAATCAAGGAAAGTTGAAAAACGCAAGAGAAAGTGTGCTAACTCACACTGAAGAACGTACAGGACTTAAACTCGATCAGTGTGACTCTTCAAGTGGACACTCGGGCACTACAACCACTGGTCAGCAAGGAAGGAGGTTTTTTGCACATGATGTACGCGAGAAGATAGTCAATTGTCTGCCAGTTGCACACAGAGACAAGGTGGAATCCTTAATGTCCACCTATTCTGTCATTCTTAGAGCAGTGTCTTCCACCGAATCTCTAAACGTGGTTGAGCTCAAAAAACTCACTCAACAATTCTGTCTCTTCGTTGCAGATGAATTCACATGGGTAGATTATAATATAACTGTTCATAATTTAATATTTCATGCGCCCGAACTGGTCGAACGAAACAATGGTATAGCGCTGGGCAAATTGAGCGAAGAGGCCCTCGAATGTTGCAATAAAGATGTACGCAACTTTCGTGAATTTTTAGCGCGTAAATGCGGTCACATTCTCAATCTGACCGACGTATTTAACAGGCTTTTCTTACGATCTGACCCACTTATTCGCTATCATATTGGTCAATGTCGTACAAAAAGAGAGAAACGAACGAGTGCTTCTCATGTCACTGCTAGTCCAAACGAAGATGATCTTCTTTTAGAAAAACTTATGGTCTGAAATCGGTTCTTCTTTTTCAGAGTGCTTTCAGTCCGCAAGGACAGCTCGCGGGGATAGGTCCGCCTTTTCATCAGGGCCGGCCTGTCTACTCGTGGGTTTTCCATTTTCAGTTGAAAGCGGTTTCTAAAAGGGGCACAAACAGTGAACTTATTCTTTTAGGTCCTTTTTTTAGTCTTTCGATCTCTGATCTTTCTAGATTTTAGTACAGTTGACTTGCATGCGCTTGCTTTGATGAATTTTCCTCCTCTATGAAGGGAGACCTCTCCGCGGTGAGGAGGAGATACGTTGATGCTTTGCATCAACGGCTAACGGCCCTTCAAAGTGAAATTGCCTTTTAAATGACTATGGTAGATAAATGATCCTGTTAAAAGCTTTCTTTTAGTTTTCTTGCTATTTTTGTAGGTTTTAAGCAAAAAAGTATCAAAGTTCTTGTACTCAGTTATAGTAGAATACACCTACATCATCTTTGAGCGAAAACTAGAATTTTTCATCGAAAACCGAGGTTTTCCAGAACACCAAAAATTTGAAAGTTTTCAAAACCTCAAAAGAACTTCACGGTTGGATAGAGCGCACTCGATAATCTATGAAAATGTGTTTCTTGCTATTTTAAAGTTGATAGTTCTCTTATAAAAGCACATGGCCCTACCATGGCCCGAAGAGAAAGCCGGAAAGTCATAGTAGTTCAGAAAATTCTCCGAAAACTCATTTGGCTTTTACCTTACCTACTTTTTCATACGTTCAGCTGTGATATTGGCAGCCTTATAACTCAAAAAGTAAACGGTACCTTTTTCTAAAAAATAGCTTTGCATAAAGTACAAGCTGTGTACTTCAAACTGCCAGAAAAACTGGAGAGGGGTACCTCCAAATTTGTTAACTTTTTAATCTTGGAAGTTGCGAGAATATGCACTAATTTCATAGTGAGTGCAACCTTTCTTTTGGATAAAACGATAAAATTTGTTCTTTTCTCTATTTCTTACTTTATATCTCTCTCTATAGTGTACGCAGAAAGAAAAAAACATCAAAGCAAAGAAAAATGACATAAAAGAGAACGATAGAAAAGCGGAATCTTTGACGTCTACTGTTGAATATAGTGTAATATACCGTGAAAACCCACAGTGGAGAAACTGGGTCCAAAAAACGCGAGTACCCCGACGAGATCTTTGCGCCGTACAACGTAACTCGTTGCGCTGATTCTGAATATCTAAGTTTCAAAAATTCCGTTTCTCAAGAAAAAAACCATCGAATTTTGATATGGAATAGATTTCTGTCCAAAGTTTGCTTAAAAGATCTCTAGGCAAAATTGAAATTCTAACTCTGAATAAAAATAACTACGCAAAATTAGAATTTGACATTATTTTCATATAATGTCGGCTTTAATCTTAACCGTGACACGACTATTCCTTGAACCGACTCTTCCGCGAATTGACTTTTAGTGCCAGGGTGCAGTGTGAGAGTGAGTTCGAAAAAAACCTGATTCGCGGAAGAGTCGTTCGCTGAAAAGTCGATGTTTCAATCTTAACACATTTGACGTGATATCTTTGCACGACACAGGTTTTTTCTCGTTCTGTTTCACTGTGTAAAGAAGACCGCGGAATGATCACTTCAGCATTGGTTTCATTCACCGTTTTATTCTTACATATTAGAATCACAGCCAAAACAACACTAAGCTGCAGAATAGAAAAATGTGACATCAAAGACATACGATAAACGAATTCGTGAGTCGTATCCAAGCGCATTCATATTTGCCTGTTGTATCTAAGCATATCTTTTCTTTTGTGTCACATCTTTCTCTAATCGGAATTTTGTGAAGAATTTGACTTGAAAAATACTGAAGAAGCAAAATGAAGGGATATTTCTAAAATTTTGAACTACTGGTGCTTGTAAGTCTTTCACATAGTACAGCGGCGGGTTTCTTTTGTCTCCCTCTACCTTTCCATGTCTTTCTTTCTGTCGTATCTAAGCATTCTTAACTATCTGTCGTATCTAGATGATATTTTTCGTGTAGTACGTTCTTGGTGCCGCTACAAAAAGTTTTATCGCTTTTGCTTGTTGTTTAGTATTAATCTTTAATTTTTCAAATGAAAGGAAGACCGTTGTTTATTTTCTGAATGGAGTCGATTTTCATTTCCGCTCCAATCTTCTTCTTTCTTATTGACTTGACCAAAGTGAGAAATTTGTAAGTAACATCCGACTAACTTTGCGGGAAATATTTCTGTAAACGTAAATAAAATATACGAAAAGAAACGCCAACAAAATAAACAAGACTGAAGAGGAAAAAACAAAATTTGTTTTATAAATTGATTCTCGTTTTCGACTTTATACGAGAAAGTAACTCGAAGTATCAGATCCAACGAAATAGGAAAACAATGAAGTCATTTATAACTTGTTTTATTCAACTTTTAATGTTAAAAAACAAAAAGGAGAACAAAACGGTGAATGAAAGCCATGCTAAACTGATTTCTCCACGTTCGTTGCACCGTGGAAGAAGAAGCAGAACACAAAGATACACGTCGTGCATATGCGAAAAGAGATATCTTCTTAAAGCCATCGGGCGCAATTAGATCACGAAAAATTTCAAGTTGACTATTTTGCAATTTGTGAAGTCATTTCTCAACATGCAAATTTTATTTTTCGTTTCCCGAGTAGGGGAGGCTGTTCTTTGTCGATCTATGTAAAAATCCTTACGATTTGTCTGCTCATTAGAGAGTAATGATGATTAGAATGAAGACATGTCTGACTTTTTATCCTTTCCAAATTAGATCACACAGTGCATAGAGATATTTCTATGACGAAAGTTAATTACAACATGTTCTCGAAGAAAAGTCCGAGTAAAACATGATGTAACCAAGGCTGATAAAAAGATCCCAGAAATTGGAAGGCGTCTGCGAAATTAAGTATAACTTTCTTACAGCCAGCGCTTTTTTCTCAAGTGTTCACTCAGGCGTTTTAATGAATCAGAGTCCCATGTTTAAAGAAAATTAACTGATGAATTATTATCTTTCGTTTCTGGCGCCGTTCCCACGAGTATGCGCGCGTCGGAAACGCTCTTTTATTTACGTTTTGGGCTTATTCTGCGCGCTACAGCATGCTGAATTCAATTTTAATATTTGCAGCTCAAGAAATAGTGTAGTTTCGCTAAATTTTATTATATATGACACACTACGTCTTGCACAGTGTACATAGTGTAACCATTGGTTCTTATGGCGCCAATGAGAGCGTTGCTATAGACCATAAGAATGAATTTCGCTATAAAGAGTAGAAACAGTTCAAACAAAAATGGGTTTAACCAAACTTTCACGATCACCAGAGTATATAGCCTAGATTATATCGGTAAAAGGAAATCGAATAAAAACGCCCGTCTCAGTTGTTAAAACTCATATGCCCATTAGCGCAAAACCGACTTTTGTGAATTTTGACGCCAAAATGTGAAAAGTGATTTGAATCAAGAGATACTTTGCTGCCCGTCGATTCACATAATAAGCTCTTCAGAAAAAAAATTTGGACCGATTCTGTTCCCCGTATAAAAAGTCGGTTTTGGGCTAATGCGCCCTCCCTGAACGCCTCTGAAAGAGAAAGAACAAGGAGTGATAGTTTGTGAAGGGAGAAATTGCTGGAGCCCGAAAACTTTACCCACTCCATATCTCCCTAACACTTGTGAACCTAAGCGAGCCCACGGACAATACTGAAGATACATTTCTGTACGCAGACAAGCTAATGTATAGTATTCTAAATATCGAATATATTTTCTCGGACATTTTTATCGACTAAACCATGATGACAAAATTCGCATTTGCGCTCTTTTCAATAGTGTGATTTATAAAGTTCAGAAATACTTCTAATAAGGTTTTTCAGAGATCGGATCTTTGGAAAACCCTGATAAAAACATCTAATTTTGTTTTTGTTAATATATTCAATGGTTTTATTAAATATAGTTGTTTGAAATTTTTTACTCATTTTATTCATTTTTTTCTTGAATATTTGGACAAGTAACATTGAATTTTATTTTAAATACAAATTTTGATTTTGTACTACCGTCTAAAACGCTTGCTACAACTATTTTTATCAACATTTAAATCGTTGGCTAAACAAAACTTTCACAATAATTGCGAATTAAATTCATTCGATTTCAGTGATCCATCTACTGTTAGTTTCAGTCAATGAATTATTACAAATTAGCAAGGGTAATAATGTTATTAATGTTTCAATCTTGTTCTTTTTTCGTTCTTTTTCTATCCGACACGATTTCTGACAATAATGGATAATGGTAGCTGCGATTTTCGGTTCATTTCCTTTATGATTTGGACCTTAACGTGTCATTTCAAACATCGCACTAACAAGTGTATAGAGAAGAAAACATGTTATTTTATTATGGATTTCCCACGTAGATGTAGAATGGAAAAAGAGAATGAATAGAAAAAACATAAATAGAGCAAAAAATAAACATCAATGTATTAAATTACCTCACTATTACCGAATCCATTGAGTTTTGTTAACCACAAAACTTTTCTCATAGAAGTTTCTGTTTTATCATTAATTGCAGTTATATTCATTTCTTATTTCATTTTAATTTTAATCTGAGCTTTTGAGTCACCGATTCATCGAAAAAATCGAAAGTCTATTTTTATCTGTGGTTGTTTCTCATAAAAATCATAGAACAAAATCATCAACTCATAGAGTTACTACGATGCTGAGCACTAATCAAAAAACATGTGTTCACTCACCTGCTGTAAACAGATATTCTTTTGGAAATCATTATAGGATGCAGCTAAATAATATTTAGTTCTTCCAACATTGCACATTCTTTTATTAATGCTGATGATGGTCCAATTTTTTCCCTTAACATTGCATCATCGCAGTGAAAATGTTGATTTCTTGTGTGTTTGAACGGAGTACTAAGGAGGCTTCTGTCTAGTGTTTTCTAATCCGAAAATATAAGACAGAAAAGGAAAAGAACGGCAGGTATTCGAAAGCAAGCTTTACGCTTTTGTTTGTCAGTTGTA